AGTAATTTCTTCTAAATTCAATCTATTTACTTTTTAATACAAAAAACCATGTGAACTTAATCCCTCATGCCCTTGATCAAAGAAAACTCTTACCATATAACACTTTCACCCAAAAACTTTATAACTATGCAATCCTATAACCCCATAACTACTTAATCCCATGACCCCACCCCCCGAAAAATTGACAAAACATTTTTTTGACGATGCCATGGTATTCTTATCTTTTTTGGGTCACTGAATTTGAAACCGAGGTCTGTTCAACTTCATAGCTTTAGCGTTCTTTGTAACTTTCAAAATAAACTTAAACATCTAATAACTTTTTCTAGCTAAAATCTGATTGTTCAATACAAAAAAACAATAAAACATCGAATCCTCAAACCCCTTGATTCGATAACACCTACAGCTCACTGTCTCAATAAAACTGCCTAACCTTTAAAAATAAATTTCAAGAGAATCAGAAATATTTTAATGCTCTTCTGATGTTATTGTTATAGCATAATTGTTCGCATTTGTTTTTAAATGCAAAGTAAATTGTCTTATTAGTCGCTCACTTTCTTCATGTGTATGCGCCCAGGGCACCTCCACGTGGTGAAGGTGGGCAGCGGAGTAAATCCGTGATCCGGCAGAGTCCCTGGGTAGCGGATTCCACGCCATCATGGCAGGCACATGAAGAAAGTGCTTTACGATGCAGGGAGTCAGAACCCCGGTATTGGCAGCTGGTCAGGGTGGGAAAGCGGGCCCAAAGGCGTCGTCATCATGCAACCGCAGCTCAAAGATAGTGGATAACTTGGCTAGCTTTGAGTTTAAAACTACAAAAAACTTTCATGGTGTTAAATGGAAAAATGATCCAAACATTTTTTTGTTATGTTTGTGCTGATTTTGTAGTAAAAAGAATCGTTGGGAAATAAACGACAAAGTAAAGAGCATGTACGTGGAATGTTTTGAGACTTAAATATCCGATAATATTACAAAAGGGACACCAAACTTTACTTGTTCAGCTTGTTACGTGATGTGTAATCGCTGGCATGCCAATAAGGACAAAAGCAAACTACTTATTTTAGTTTCATCAAGATGAAGCAAGCCCAAATCTAAAAAAAATTGTTACTTCTATCAAATAAACGTTGAGGGTATCAACCAATCAACACGATGTGAAATTGTGTATCCAAACGTTAGTAGCATGTTGAAACCTGAATACACAAAACAACTTTTTAAAAATAAAGATTTAACAACTGATAAAGATTAATAGAGAATATAAAGACAGTAATGACGGAAACATGAATTACACCATCGAAGACGAAGAGGACGAAGAAGAAGAAAGAGAAGTAGAAAATGGTGATTTTGATGATGATTTTATAAAAGAAAAAAAGAAAGACAATACAGTTACACAGAAATATACACAAGCTGAATTAAACGATCTTGTCAGAAATTTAGGTTTGTCAAAGAAAGCTGCAGAGTTTTTAGCTTCTGATTTAAAACGAAGAAATCTTACAATACACATGAAAGTGAGAACATATCGAAACAGATAACAAAGTTTTAGAAAATATTTTTCCCATAATGCGGATTCATCATTATTTCACTGTTGTGATGTTAATGGATTCATAAATGAAATAAAAGTAAAACGTATGCAGAGTTCAAGAATAAAGAATATTTATTGATTCTTCCAAGAAAAGTCTAAAAGCAGTTTTACTTCATAACACGAACGAATGTGCCGCAGTCTCAGTAGCCCATTCAACTGTCATGAAAGAGGAATACCCTAACATTAGCATTATCTTCGAAAAATATTAATACTCCAAGCACAGGTGGCAAACATGTGGTGATCTGAAGATTTTATCCATGATTCTTGGCCAACAAAGTGGATTTACTCAATATCCCTGCTACTTGTGTTTGCGGGACAGTAGATATAGAAAAAATAATTTTAAAAAAAAAGAGTGGCCGAGAAGAACAGCTTTTAATCCTGGATGTGCAAATGTCATGAGATTTGGTTGATTCATCTAAGGTTCTTCTTCCTTCACTATATATAAAGCTGGGCCTTATGAAACAGTTTGTTAAGGCTTTGGATAAAAATGGACATTGTTTTGTATATTTAAAAAGTAAATTCCCAGATGTATTAGATGCCAATTTAAATAAAGGAATCTTTGATGGACTTCAAATCCACAAAATGTTTCGTAACCGTGAATTCATAAGTATGATGAGCGCCACAGAAAAATTAGCGTGGGTTAGTTTCAAAAATGTTGCTGTAAATCTCTCAGAGAACCATAAAAGTGATGATAACAAGAGAATAGTAAATGAAATGGTCAAAAACTTCAGTAATTTTGGTTGTTATATGAATTTACAGCTGCAATTTTTTACATTCACATCTTAATGAGTTTCCGGAAAATTGAGGTGACTGTAGTAAGGAATAAAGTGAACGCTTCTACCAGGATTTGAAAGAAATAGACCGCCACTATCAAGGAAGATGGGATGAAAATATGTTGGCAGATTCATGCTGAAATTTAAAGCGAGAAGTAGAGGTTCCCGAAAACAAGCGCAAGAGAAAACCATTGCACAGAAGCTTGAAAGACAAAAGACAAGGGTATAGTAAGAGACAGAAGAAAGAAAAAAGTTGATGTGATTCTACTAACGTAAAATGCAAGGGGACTCTCGCTAATCAAGCACCCCGAGACGTGAGAGGCAAGGGGACTCACGCTAATCAAGCACCCCAAAGGGAACATTAGCCTACTACGTCCACGTCATTGTTCCTGGGTAAGGCTAAGAGAAAGTTGAATAATAAATACAAAGACCCTAAGATAGTGAAGTAGAACAGACGTTGGATTCAAATTCAGCGACCCAAAAAACATTAGAATACCATGGCATGGTCAAAAAAATATTTTGTTTATTTTTCGGGGGGTGGGGTCGTGGGGTTAAGTAGTTATGGGGTTATAGGGTTGCATAGTTATGAAGTTTTTGAGTTAAAGTGTTATATGGTTAGAGTTTTCGTTGATCTAGGGGATTAGGGATTAAGTACAAATGGTTTTTTGTATTTAAAAATAAATAGATTAAATTTAGAAGAAATTAGCTGATTTTTAGGTTAATTTTTTTAGGTTATGAATAATCATAGGGTGTAGGAATAAAATAGACCTCGGATTCAAATTTCGCGACCCAAAAAACATAAGACTTACATGGTCTGGTCAGAAGTTCAATTTTTTTTTCTTTTTGTGGAGCTGTGTAATGAAACGGACGACCCAGGTATGTGTGTGCAAAATACTAAAAATGCAAAAGTGTACATCTCAATTTTTTTTTGATTTTTGGTATGGGATTATTAAGTAAAAAACGTGACAGATTGTTTGAAAGTTATTATTTATTATTGTTTTGAGTTAGTCAGAGTTAGTCAATAGTGAAAATGGCAGTTGTATGACAGTTTTTCATATGGAACTTAAAAAATAGACTTAAGAAAAACAATATCTGAAGTTAAAATCACAAAGTTAATTGAATGACACAATGAATCTCTAGGTATAAAATAAATAGCCTAAATCGTACTATTAAAGATTATATAATAGTGCTAAGAATATGAGAATTTACTTACTGTTAAGACACAAAGTGTTCTTAAAACCAAAAAATACTAAGCTTAAGGAACTTTCACAGAAAGTTTTACTAATAGTGTAGCATGTACACAAAGATAGAGTGTAATATCGTTCTTATAGTAATTGTAAATTAAGTGACTCGTTATAAGTTAGAAAGCAATATTTCTGGAAATTATTACGAATTACATTTAAGTTAGATGTGAAAACCTAGAATTAGCCGATTTTGAAAATAAACAAGTATTAGAAATATCAGAGACGAATGTTATTTAAAAATAGTTAGAGAACCGTTTTGTTTTATTACCTTCCAATTTTCATAAATAAGTCACGTAAAAGTGAATTAAATTCTTCATAACCATTTTTTTATTATAAACCAAAGACTGCTGACAAAAAAGGTTTGTAAGCAACACTTACTTTACCGAAAAATCTGAAACTGTCTTTTTTTTGGCAGGCAGCTCTGCTTTTCCAATTGGTAGGGTTATTCAATAAAAAAATTTACTTTATTGTTCTTATGTATTTAAAAAATAATTTAAGAGATGTTCAAGTTAGCTATAAAAATTTAAAAAATATTGTAAAAGGTCTAGGGGATTTAAGTTTATGGTAACTACACAAAAACGCTTTACTTATTTTTGAAAAAAGTTAATATACCTTTTTTAAGTTTTTTTCGTATAATGTATTGAAGAGTAAGAAAATCAAGGCAAGAGCTAGTTCAGACAATGGAGTAGACTTTTTGTTTTTTTTATAGGAACAGTATAATTTTTTACTGACTGAAGTCTATATTTTTCGTGCAATATCCTGTAATTGTAAGAATGTCGTTGACGTTAAAAGTATTCAAAGAATAATTAGCAACAGAAGAGATAGTAAATATGCTATAGCTATTAAGCTCTTAGAGTTGCATAGGTATGTTACGTTTTTACAGGATGTCTTGTTAACTGTGTTTATTCATTTAACTTGTATCTCAGCCTAATTAAGGCGTTGTTAAGGATTCTTATTTAAAAAAGAAGTGCTAGTAAAGTTGTATTCAATAAGTACTAAAGTTGTAGTTAAGTCCATGTTTTGAATAGGAAAGCTAACCTCCAAAGGTTGTTGTTTTCTATTTTTTCAGAAGTAAGACTATTAATTAAAAAAAAAAAAATTTTCTTTTATTACCGTCAAGTTTTGAACTTATCCTATGAACTTTAAAAAAACAGTATGCTAAATAACAAATTTACTGACTTAGTAAGCAAAAATACCTAGGAGGACAAAAGTATAATTTGATAGGATACCAATGAACTTTTCTCTTAATTTATAATTAAAGTATAAGCACCTTTGTATGCTAAAAATTGTGTAGACAGATCAGAACATCATTTATGAAAATTTTTTTATTTTTGTTTGTCCATTAAATTTTATTCAAACATTTTTTCTAAACTACTTAATTCTTATACTCAATGTTTGCAGTACTACCTGTGACGTTAAGACCAGAAAATGATTGGAATGCTGCCACAGCTTGATACATTGCTTGTTCGGAAATGATGCCACCACTCACAACAGTTGTCTGTGGGAGATATCCATAGCTTGATAAGTATTTCTGAAATAATTACAAAAATTACTTGATTTTACGCAAGTGTACATATTACTTAGAATAAAAGCGTTTAAATAACTATTAATAAGGGATGTTGACATTTGTAAGCAACTGAAAATATGTTCTTCCTCACGAATATTTTTGAGTTGCCAAACAGTGTTATAACGCAACAACTAATCATTACAACCAACGTTTTCTTTTTTCCTGGAAAGCGAAGTATGTAAGAAGCTAGAGGAACTTTATTCTTGATAAGGAGTGAATAATTATAACTAGTAACAAGAAAATGTAAACATTAAATACTTTAAAGTTTCGCAATAAGCATAAATTTCTACTGTTACCAAGAGATATAACCACAAAGTATCAGAGAAAAAAAAATACATTGAAGAACAGCTCAGTGTTCGGTAACAGTCTACAATATTTTCTAGTTGTCATGTGCCCTCTACCACCTAAATTATATTCGGTCTTAGAACTACATAAGAAAAATTTGCTTTAATTGACGAGTAGTTTTACTTATTAACATGCCATTGGGTAGAACTTAACAGAAATTAATAGACAGTATATTATTTAATACAAAATGTAGTTTAAAATAAAGTGTTAAGAATTTATTTGAACTGATGGAGAAAATTAACTATTTGAAGGTTCACGAAAGACACAAGATGGTAGAATGTAATATCAAAATTGTTTTTTTGAGTGTACTGGTAAACTAAATATAAAAGATTATAGGAAATAAAACCTTACAAAATAAAACAAACAATGTTATTTTAATCATTTTTAAGAAGCCTTTGAAGTATTGCTTCGATCAAAGCTATAAGGAATCGCATCTTAGTTTTATATATTGTTCAGAAGGGGCTGATAATAGGTAAACCACTTAGCCTTTTACTCGCCAAGATTTTTAAAAGTTATTTGGAAAAGAAAATTATATCCATTCCGTTAATTGTAAATTTTTTGTATTTGTATGGATATGTAGATGACATGTATTGTATTTTTTAATATCTCTGAGATAGTAACGGTTATTATAAAATTGTATAAGTAAATCACGAAAAAGTTTAAGAATTGTAATAGAAATAAAAGAAAATAATTCACTAAAATTTTTATACTTAAAAATTAGGATTTTCATATTAATTTTTTTCTTTGATGGCACCATAAAAACCGTAGATCTGAAGAGTCCCTTTTCTGAAAGTCATTTTCACCTTGCATTAAAGAGATACTGATACCTCATGTAAAAAAAATTCTGTTGCCTTATTTGCATCTTGCAAATTCTATTTAAAATAAACTGTTATCAACTAAAGTGATCCACCGAGATAGTGTCCTTCAGCGACTTCTACAAACACTTTTGTCCTTGGGATGCTGTTTGAATTGGGATTCTTATTTATTCTATGAGAAAATAAGATAATTCTTTTAACTTCGTTAGTTCTAAATTAATTATACTCTGGTTTTTTAAGCCTTTTGGGCAGCTTTTACAGTCACTTTTTATTTTAGTGAGCGCATTTTTTAACTGTGCATATAAAAGTTATGATATTTAAGTTTTTAATTATAAATCTCGCCTGTACTTCATTAACTGATGTAAATATCTGACAGTTTTGTTTGTATACTAAGAAAATTAATCTTCTCTCAAAATAAAATTTAATACTACTATAGCTCTACTTATATGTAACAAAGCTGTTTTAATCTTGTCTGCAATACCTTTAATTGTAAAAAATCACTTTAGAATCACGTCATTATTAAGATTTTTGACTTTTTTTTCTGCTTAATTAAGTTGTAATACCTCTTTGTTTTACTGTTCCATTGCTCTCTGTCTGAAACAACCAATGTTGTAAGGTTCTTCAAGCGTCGGGCTACAAGAAAACCGCTTAAGACTTGCATTACTGTCCAAGTTAGTACAGCTGTATCTTAGTTCTAATAAGGTAGAGTCTAACAGTTATAAGGAACATTCCACAACTTGACCTTTAGTTCCATGTGGTCTGTGTAAGATCTGTTAGGCTTGCGAGAGTCATCCCGGCTTGCACTGAATGTAAGCTATTAATAGAAATTTCCTAGTAATCAGAGTTCTGTTACTTTTAATTTGTAGTCAGAAATTTTCAACAAGTCTTATCCAGAAATGCTAACAAAAAATACTAAAACACACTAAGATCTTATGTATTAAGATACCCTTCTCCTATTCATTGCTCGAAAAGACACAGGATATAACGGAACAAGCAGATTACTCTTTTTATCACTATTTTTATTANTTACCGAGTCGGTAACTGGTTTTACCCACGACAATGAATAACATTACCTATATGCCACGCATGCCAGGTGTGCACCTATTACTATTATTATTATTTTGATTATTAGCATTCTTTCCATTGCTATTGGTCATTCTCACGACGCACCTCCTTACCTAATTTTTTCACGTCACAGATTTAAGGCTAAGTGTGGGGTCTGGTAATAAACGGAATTTTTTAAAGTTTATTTTACTCGTTTCAAAAATTTCACCAGAAAGCACATATAGTGCAGTCTCACAAGAGAACTAAGATGAAAAATTGGAAGGCCAAAGATCGGATTAGAGACAACAGTTCCGTTCATATTCTACAAGCAGTGGTGACAACAGGCCAAAAGCCAACAAGAAAAGGATACCAATTGCAGATTATCACAGGATTAAGGAGACAAAAGGCAAGCGATGAAGAGAGATGGTTTTAAAAGTTTAATTTCTACTGTTGTGCATATCAACTAGCACGTAAGTACATATGTAATGAAATTTATTTTATACCTTAATTTCAAAGTAAGGTAGGGAAGGCACTTCTAAGATCAATATAAAACCCTGGTAAAGTTTTCTTTTTGATAAATGCTTATAAGTTTGTCAGCCCTTTCTTTTTAAAGTATTTTTTCTTTTAAAATCCAAAACAAAAATTAAACTAGGCAATAGACTTGAATACGCAGTGGACTAGAAAGATATTTCTGCACGAACGTGAAGCAGAGAGATTTAAGTAGACACAGAAAGCATTTAGATAAAAGAACTGACACTTATATCGGTTAAAGAATTTATTACTACCTTTAGACTTGTCATTTTTTTTTAAAGAAAGAAGACAACAGATATTCCTAAAAGAATATTTCTCTTTATTTACCATCAAACTAAAATACAGTGCAACGTTAAAGAAGCCAATTAAAAGACAAATTCAACTCGTCTACTTTCCTGTCTTGCCTCCTACTATTCCATTCATCCAATTATTATTGAGCGGCAACATGGGTAATTAAATGCAACATTATAACTAGGAAAATGCATAAGTTTTATCAATATCAAAAAGCAAGATACGACTAATGACACATACATACACCTCCCCCCACACACACATGTGTGTTTACATATTTGGGGAATTCTCTCTTAACTTGGCCACCCCCGCTGTCTAAAAATTGGAGCAGCATAGATAGTTTTATTTGGGCTTATCTTACAGCTACAAAATTGTAGATCCTTTCAAACAGTGGTCTGTTTTTTAAATGTGGTGGATAAATATGGCCGCCAAAAATTAGCTACCTCACCGTTAGCTCTTTTTTGGGATACTGTACGTAAATAACTGAATAAAAAATGAACTACAAATATTTTTGCTACACATTTGTACCAAGTTAATACGAATAAATTTCTCTTTATCATCTGAAAGTGTCTCTGTCGTTTCTAACCTCAAAAAATCTCTAAAAAAGACGATTTTTAAGTGTTACGATCACGTATATTATCGAAAATTTATGAACACATAAGCTTTTGATCTATCTTTACTTACTTAGTATTAATATAGACCTACTTCTCTACAAAAGATCATTTTTGTCCTCCCTAACCTCGAAAAACCTCTAAAAAATGAGATTTTCGAGTTTTTTGATAACTCCCGTTATCGTCAGTTTATAAAAATATACCATTTTGATGAAGTTTTACTTGCTCAATGCCGACGTGAATCTATTTTTTACAAAAGTTCTCGTATGTTTTCCTAACCTCAAAAAATCTCTTGAAAAGTGATTTTTCAAGTACAATTTTCTCCTGCGTTACCAAAAAATATAATTTATCTTTCTCGCTCACTCTTACGCTCTTAAAGCAAATATTACCATATCATTGACATGAGTCTCTATCTGTCATTTCATACCTTAAGAAAGTTGTTGAAAAAGCATTTGGTAGGTCTCATAAGAATCGAAACTATCTTAAAATCAACAAAAATTTCCTTAATGTATCTCCACTTTTTGTTTACGGATATTGATTAATTTATAACATCAATGTCTTTTCTCATCCGTAAACTACAAAAACTTGTTGGAAAAGATTTTTTCACGTAAGTCTTTAGTTATATATAGAGTTAACGTTTTATGCATGTATGTTTGTTACGTAAAGTGTTTACAGTTTTGTGTAAAGGTTTAAAGCGGGGTGAATAATAATCTACGTCAGTATTGATCATTGCAGTCAAAGGATTTTATTCAGCATATAAACTTTTGTAGATAACCAAGATAACTTTAATATCTCATATCCTACGAATCCAATAATATTTACATGATTTACAGACTTGTGTGATAGATTGGTGTTATAAGTAGGATGGTTTTCGTGTAATAAATTAATATTTTTTTTTTGTCTTCTTTCTCTGTCAGGCAATCACGCTCACGATTTTTTGGAAAAATACATAGTGTTGTGCTACGAGACATAAAGGATTAAACAAAGAGAAAGTGACTGCCATTATCATTGCAGCATAATCATGAAAGAAAGGAAATTTCCTCCACGAAGGGAAATGAAAAGAGAAAGAAAATTACCAGGGGATTGACGTTCTCAGAAAAGGACGGCCTGATCTAGCAGCAGCAGAGATAAACCAAAATAGGGTACATTGATGGTCATTGTACTAGCTGGGTAACTAATTTCCATTTACCATTGATTACACTTATACGGTCCCTGGGGTTAAGTGTATGTATGTATTAAGAAATCAATGTTAGTTTGTCGTGTTGCAAAGTTTCCTCCTTTCGTTGTGTTAGATTTCTGTATTATTTTGTGGGCAGGATGATAACCA